TTCAATAGTGGTTTGTATTATTATATATCAATTATTTACATGTATCCCTCATATATCACGATGACTTCTCATTTTTGTTAGACCTTTTCTCATCTTATTGTGGATCGGTCCACCCAACATCCTTAAAAAACTGTCTTTTAATATCTCATTTAAACCACATTTAACGAGTACGCTTCAGAGCTTTTTGTTGTCAAATTTCCTTATGTTAAAAATCCTTTTTTGATTAAGTTCTCATTCAATCAAGTCTTATCATAATTTCAATAAGATTTAGATATTTGACTTCCCATTAGTGTCCTTCTTTGTACTCCAATTACAGGAAATAAGTCGTCCCCTAAGCTGATTTTCTCATTTGAAAATGGAACAAACCTAACGCTTAGCCCAATTCATCTGAATTGTGAGTCTATCATTAAGTTTGGGATGAGATTTGATTATCTCAAAATGACATGTGGTGATCTTAGGTTTTCCTCTGTAGACCCACTAATTGTTGATGAAAAGGAGCAATGATGGAATTCAACCTCTAGTTTGAAGAAGATTTACCCCCGAAGAAGAGAGTTGTTAAAATGTCCCCGGTTGTAATTGATGTTGCTACTGTTGCTCTTAGAATGCACCTGAAAATCAAACAACAAGTTATAGTTGAAGTGAAAAAGTTAATAGAAGCTAGTTCTATATGTAAAGAGCAATATCCAACTTTGTTAACCAACATAATCTCGGTCAGATTGGAGTCTGCGCTGACTTTAAAGATCTAAATAAAGCTTGCCTAAAAGATGAGTTCCCATCATCAATTCTAGAGCTGATGTTGGATATCGAATCATTACAAGCAGACTTTTTATTTATGGATGGACTGTCAGGATATAATAAAATCAAAATGGCTCTAGAGGATAAAAGAAATACACCCTTCAAAATGCTCATCGTGATTTACTGTTATACAATGATGCCCTTCAAATTTATGAATGTTGGTTTGACCTACCAATGGGTTATGAAAAAGATCTTTGATGAACTCATCCACATCCAAGTCAAGTATTGTGCAGCTGACGTAGTCGTTAAGAACAAACAAAGGGACAACCCAAGTATTGTGCAACTGACGTAGTCGTTAAGAACAAACAAAGGGACAACCATTTGTACAATTTGAGAATTGTATTTCAATGATTGTTGACCACTTTTTTATGAGGTTTGTTTCTTTTCGTCTCTAGAACTCAGGGTCCAGCCTTCCTAGTGACTTAAGTTAGAGGACTAGTGATGTGACCCACACCAATTAGAAATTGAACTATTTATTGACTCATTGTAGTCTCATGTAATTGAACTTGAATTCTCAGCCTTCTATTCAGTTGATTGAAGTCAAATTATTGAAGCTCAAGTTGAGCTGCTACATGTTTAAAATGCCCTAAATAATCCTTTCATGCTTAGAGACTTGCTTTACAATTTAAGTGCCTTGTGACCCTTATAAGACTCTCTCAATCAGGCTTAATGTTTGCTTTTAATTCACGCCTTTGGTTCAAATTGAACTCAAACATGTTTAGAGTTCATCTTAAACCAAGGTTGAGTTTAAATTGAAAATAAAAAAAATCTAGTTATAGTTGGAATTAATCATACGAATCATTATCAAGAAATTTAAAATTCAAGTTGAAATTAATAAAAAAACTAATCAAACCATACAATCCTAACTATTTTTTTTTAATTAAACATAGATAAAATTAAATCTTTAATGTCTTTTTAATAAAATAAAAATAAGAAAATGATAATAAAAAAAATTTTAAACTTTCAAAAAATTCACAATAGAAAGTTTTAACAATTTTAATCAAATACAAATAAAAAATTAAAATTAAAATTAAAATAATAAATAAAAAATATAAAATATTACTAGTTCAATCCTAAA